GAAATGAGATAAGATTTTGACTGGGATTTTCATTCAGAATAATGTTTTTTAGGTAATTGATGTTGATTTGTGTAAATTTGTATTTGGACAGATGGAGAACATAAAACTTTATGTTCCAAAATCTCTTTAAGGTCAAATAAATTATCACTTAAACAATTTAATTTCTTTTAAAAATCGAGGGCTATATTTTTTTGACGAATAGAAATCATCAAACAATGTGTTTTTTAAATCGCTCAAATATTAAATAAAGTGAGATTTAAACGATTTAAATTTTCAAAAAATTTAAATTACTTCCAAAATTTAAAATCAAAGTACAATATTTGTATTGTGAGATATAGAGAGCATCATACAATGTGTTTGAAACCTCTCAGAGGTCAAATAGAGTGAGATTTAAAAGATTTAATTTTTTTTAATAATTTAAATTGCTTCCAAATGTAAAATTATGTACTACATATATATTGTGACAGATAAAAAACATCATACAATGTGTTTTGAAACCTCTCAGAGGTCAAATTAAGTAAGATTTAAACGATTTAAAATTTTCAAAAAAATTAAATTGCTTCCAAATGTAAAATCAAGTACTACATATGTATTGCAACAGATAGAGAACATCATAAAATTTGTTTTGAAACCTCTCAGAGGTCAAATAGAGTGAGATTTAAACGATTTAAATTTTTCAAAAAATTTAAATTGCTTCCAAATGTAAAATCAATTACTATTTATGTATTGTGACAGATAGAGAACATCATACAATGTGTTTTGAAACTTCTCAGAGGTCAAATAGAGTGAGATTTAAACGATTTAAATTTTTCAAAAAATTTAAATTGCTTCCAAATGTAAAATCAATTACTATTTATGTATTGTGACAGATAGAGAACATCACACAATGTGTTCTGAAACCTCTCAGAGGTCAAATTAAGTAAGATTTAAACGATTTAAATTTTTCAAAAAATTTAAATTGCTTCCAAATGTAAAATCAAGTACTTTATTGCATTGTGACAGATAGAGAACTTCATACAATGTGTTTTGAAACCTCTCAGAGGTCAAGTAGAGTGAGATTTAAACGATTTAAATTTTTCAAAAAATTCAAATTGCTTCCAAATGTAAAATCAAGTACTATATTTGTATTGTGACAGATACAGAACATCATACAATATGTTTTGAAACCTCTCAGGGGTCAAATTAAGTAAGATTGAAACGATTTAAATTTTTCAAAATATTTAATTGCTTCCAAATGTAAAATCAAGTACTATATATGTATTGCAACAAATAGAGAACATCATACAATGTGTTTAGAATCTTCCCAGAGGCCAAATAGAGTGAGATTTAAACGATTTAAATTTTTCAAAAAATTTAAATTGCTTCCAAATGTAAAAGCAAGTACTATATATGTATTGCGACAGATAGAAAACATCATACAATGTGTTTTGAAACCTCTCAGAGGTCAAATTAAGTAAGATTTAAACGATTTAAATTTTTTGAAAAATTTAAATTGCTTTCAAATGTAAAATCAAGTACTATATATGTATTGCAACAGATAGAGAATATCATACAATGTGTTTAGAGACTTCCCAGAGGTCAAATAGAGTGAGATTTAAACGATTTAAATTTTTCAAAAAATTTAAATTGCTTCCAAATGTAAAATCAAGTACTATATATGTATTGCGACAGATAGAGAACATCATATAATGTGTTTTGAAACCTCTCAGAGATCAAATAGAGTGAGATTTAAACGATTTAAATTTTTCAAAAAATTTAAATTGCTTCTAAATGTAATATCAAGCGCTATATCAGATTTCAAAACACATTGTCTGATGCTGTTTATCTGCCAAAATACACTTGTATACATTTTGTTACATTTGTAAGCAATTTAAATTTTTCAAAAAATTTAAATCGTTTAAATCTCATTCAATTTGACCTTTGAGAGATTTCAAAACACATTGTTTGGTGTTCTCCATCTGTCAAAATACAAATTTCATCTTTGAATTTTCATTTGGATGAAATTTAAATTTTTTGAAAAATTTAAATCGTTTAAATCTAGCTTTATTCGGCCTCTGAGAAATTGCAAAACACATTGTATATTGATCTCCCTCTGTCGTAACACAGATATAGTATTTAATTTTACATTTGGAAGCGATTTAAATTTTTTGAAAAATTTAAATCGATTAAATCTCACTCAATTTGACCTTTGAGAGATTTCAAAACACATTTTATGATGTTCTCCATCTGTCTCAATACAAATATAGTACTTGATTATACATTTAGAATCAATTTAAATTTTTTGAAAAATTTAAATCGTTTAAATCACACTTTATTTGACCTCTGAGATGTTTCAAAACACATTGTATGTTGTTATCTATTTGTCACAATACATATATAATACTTGGTTTTACATTTAGAAGCAATTTAATTTTTTTGAAATTTTTAAATTGTTTAAAACTCACTCTATGAGACCATTGAAATATTTCAAAACACGTTGTATGATCTTCTATATCCGTCAAAATACAAATGAAGTATTCGACATTTGGGAGCAATTCAAATTTTTTGAAAATTTTAAACCATTTAAATTACATTCTATTTGTCATTTGAGAAATTTCAAAAATCACCATATGTTGTTATCGATCTTTTAAAATGCAGATGTATCATTTAGGAACCATTTCAATATTTTGAAAAATTTTAATTGATTAAAAGTCACAATTTTTGACCTTTCAAAGATTTCAAATTATGTGGTCTTATGTTTTCAATCCTTAAATATGCAATAATAGTTCTTATTTTACCTTAGAAAGCAATTTAAAACAAAATTGAAAAATTTAAATTGTTTCAATTTCATTATATTTGACCTTTGAAAATTTCCAATTACACTGTGAAATATTTTTTGTTTATATCAGAGGACACAAGCTAAAGATCATAAAGTACAGTCATTCTCACCAACCGCAAGCGTCCTTCACAATGAGTATGACATGTTCTGTCAAAACAGCATGCTAATATACCTGAGGTAATTGTTTCTTAATTAGTGCATTAAAAATCACAAGATATATACCGTTGGAAAGGTCTTGAAAAGATCTATTTGATGGTTAAAATTTTTTAAAATCGGTCAAGAAATGAGCGAGATATGACGTTTTACATACATCAAAGGATTTCCACCAAAGATCAAAGACATCTAAAGAGTACCGTCTAACCGCAAGGATCCTTGATAATGAATTTGACATGTCCTGTCAAAATGAAAGGCTAACTTACCTGAGCTTATATTTTCTTCATTATTACACGTACAATAAAAAGAAATATACCGTTGGAAAGGTCTTGAAAAGATCTATCTGATGGTGTAAAAAAATTAGAAATCGGTCAATAAATAAAAAAGATATGGATTTTTAAAAGAAAAGTGATAAAAGTGCATTTGCACTCTAATGTCAAAACACACCTGAGCTTATAAAATGTTCATTTTTGTACTCACATACAAAACAAATACATTTTTGGAAAGTGCTCGCCAAGATCTATTTGATGACGTAAAAAAATTTGAAATTGGATTAAAAAATTTTTTTTGAAAAATTTAAATTAAAAATTTGAAAAATTAAAAAAATTGCTTTAAAATTTAAAAGCCTGTTACAAATGTAGAGTTCACATTTAATCATACCTGAAAATTTCAAATCTCTATTTTGCGTAGTATTCTCAATGAAGGACGGACAAAAATTGTAGAAATTACGTCATATTTCACGACCGGAAGTAAAATTAGAAAAAGTGAAGGTATTGGATTGAGCCATAAATGTTTCCTTTCATCACCGAAAGTTTCATATAGGTCCACTGTACCGTTACTGAGATATCAGTGTAGGAAAAAAAATAATAATAAGAAAAAGAAACATTACAATAATAGAAGGGTCTTCCGTTGGAGACGGAAGACCCTAATAAGAAACAGAGTAAAAACAATATGTTCCCCAACTTCGTTTGGGGAACATAACTAGAGGTACTGTGAGCAATGAGCTCACTAAATGATACCCCCCGCCTCCCATATGCTTATAATGACAAAGTCCATGTTTTGCTGTGGGTGGGAAACCCAAAATATGTGTCGGATCAAAATGTAAAATAGGAGGTGCACAATGGCAATATGTTATGTAATAAAGATTCTGTAAAAGTTTCATTAAATTTCACTTCGTGGTATAAGAGGAGTTGCGGATAAGAGATTCTGTTGCATGGCTCAAATAAGATAATATTTTTCCTAGCATACGAATTGGGTGATATGACTTTGCAGAGTCGGAAGGGGGGCACGTATGGACAAACTTTCATTAAAGCTTCTAAGAACAAGCTATCAAGAATAGAATCTAGGACATTGATGCAATTCATCATGACATTGATGTTTGATTGATTGATTGTATACTGTTTAACGTCCCTCACCAGAATATTTCACTGATATGGAGACGTCACCATTGCCGGTGAAGGGCTGCAAATTTAGGCCTATGCTCGGCACTCAGGGCCATTGAGCAGGGTGGGATCTTTATCGTGCCACACCTGCTGTGACACGGGGCCTCGGTTTATACGGTCTCATCCGAAGGACCGCCCCATTTAGTCCCTTTTACGACAAGCAAGGGGGTACTGAGGACCTTTTCTAACCCGGATCCCCACGGGGCACATTGATGTTTGAAGTGAAAACTCTGAGCTGCTAGAAGAAACATATACCGGTAGGTCAAAAGCTTCGCAGACTGTGTGCTTATTGTTTCACAAATTCAATATTTCAAAGATTTCTAATCTGATATAGATTCCATAGTTCTGTGTACATGTCAAATATCCAAAAATAGTAATTTGTTATAACAAATAAGTAATTTGTTATAACAAATTATCAATTTGTTATAACAAATTATCAATTTGTTATAACAAATTATCAATTTGTTATAACAAATTAAAAAAAAAAATACTGCTGCGGCCCTAATATGCTTCCGTACATTATTGATATCATACAGTGCATATTATTATTTAATTCCAGTACAACAAACTGAATCTTTTTCTTGGCTTCTTTATTAATGGTTTTTAACATGTAGATATACAGGATAGGTTGACTAGAGAAATTAAATATTTTAAAATTATTTAAAATATGAATAAAATTCTACTGCACTTATACTAAGGAAGCTCTAAACCCTGCACACTGTGCAGTACTATACCGTAATATCACAGTCAATATCAAAATACATCTACAAAACATCATATCTTTTTTGTAACAAAAATGTTTTATCAAAAATAATCTGTGTGTGCAAAAAAATGCAGTTTCAAAGCCCCACTTTTGAACTAATTTTAACAAGAAGTCTCTGATGAGAATGTAGCTCTACTGGTTTGTACTGAAAAGATAATAAGATCCACTGGTTATGATCTGAGGTGAAAATCATGAAAGGGATATTGTTGCCAAAACAATTGACTTGACTTGAATCAAATTTGATACATTTGTAGTTGATGTTCTATGGAAGACCTGCTACCATTAGTCAGCAATCTGTCAAAGAATTAAGAAATAATTGCCTCTATCCTTTTGTTGATTTCTGATAATTTGATGAGACTTCTAGAACTAGCATGGTTTTCAACTACAGTGGACCCTCAGATATCCGGATGCTTCAGTATCCGGACGACTTTCCATCCGAACAGAATTGTTTAATGTTATTCTGTCTTGTTTAACTGGTAATTCAGATATCCGGACGCTTCACATATCCGGACAAACTGACTAGGAACCAAAGCATCCAGATAAATGAGGCTCCACTGTACTTGTTTGATCCAGGATCCATTCTTTGAATTGGAAAAAATTTAACTAACTGATGTTAACATTTTCTTAATTTAAAAGGTTACTCTTCACTTTCATTTTGACAGACCAAACTCTGTCAGCATCAATTTTATCCAATAGGCATTTGGAAAGCCGTTCCCTGCCTTTGCGTAAGGTTGATTGGTACCACTTAATTAATCAAAATACTTTGCCTCTATATATATGCATAAAAAAAAATTTAAAGGCTTCCTTCACGTTTAGTTCACAAAGATTTTTTTTTTTAACTGAGCAATTTTTAACTTTCTATGGTCATAATTGAGTATTGAAACATGTATCTCTAACATTTAAAAAAGGGGCAATTTTAATGCTGAACATTCCACTTATTTTTACCATATTAAGTTATCAAATAATTAATAAAGCCAAAGAGCATTTAATTTCTTTGAAAATAATAAAAAATCAGATTTTATAGTAATGACAAGGCCAGCACCTCTAATGTAAGTCTGAGAGAAAAAAGTTTATGTTTCACTTTTAAAATCTGCTAATATTATTCGCAATGAAGAGTTCTTTGGTCACATTTGAGTTGTCTCTCTATTTTCCTGTCGTCGTCACTGCTGGAGAGCCAGCGATTACAAGGGAACACACTCTCCTCATAAAGCGGCTTATCTCGACCACGCTTAATGTACTCCTTTGCCTCCTTCTTCTGGATATATCTCCGAACTCGCACCTGAGAATGCCGTAAAACAATGAGTATATGAGAAACTGTATACAGTAGTATTTTAAATATATTGACAAAAATTAGCTAACCTACCGGTACTTAATTTTATTTTATTTATGATCTTGATACTGGACCAATCACCTAATGTGTTGAACATACAGATAGAAGAAAAAGTGATATGGAAGTACATAATAACTAGCAGTTAGTCTCAATAAACATTAAAGGCTCCCCATTCATTGTGGGGCCTTAAAAATAATCTAAGAAATTGCTTAAAATGTAAAATGATCAATATGAACAGATCATTCCAGTTACTTAAGTTTAAAGGTACATAATGTAAGAGAAAACCCAAAATAAATATCAGCTAATTTTTTTTGTTTAATTTGGCAATTTTTGGAGGCATTCACCGAAATCAATGTAATTTTTAGAATGCAGAATTTAAAAACGATCAATCATAATGTACACTATACCTCATCTAGAAACCAGCCAGCCCCAGGTCCTGACCCATCATGGCCAATTGTTACCAATGCTAATGGTCCCACATCTATTGTCTCAAGCTGCAGGGTAAAAATGATAGATTAAGGCATGCATATCAATTATAGATATATATGACTACTCTACTGCATTTGGTTTTGCATACATTTATATTTATAAATGCTTATTGTAGATTCTTCAATATATTCAAATATTGTAAAAAAAAAAATACTATTACAGTTTTCTTGGAACAAAAGCGGAAATATAATTTGTTGTTGCCAAAAGCTTTGAAATGTAAAAAATTGAGAAAAAATGTAAGGACATAATAAAAATGTATTCAAAAGACAATTTACCATTGATTTTAAATATCAATTAAATACCCTATCATTTTGGGAATACTGTAAGAGAATTTAAAATACAAAGTATCTTAATTTTGGAGAGGAAATTCCAATTAAAGAATTGCAATATACAAGATATCATTGAAATGGTAATCATCTTAAAGGACCGGGGTACTGGAAAGGATTTTAGGTTGAGAGGGACTTGAAAAGAACAGTTTTTGAAGTTTAAAGCACTCTTTGGTAATGAATATGCAATGGGGTTATGACCTTACTAAAACATGGATTCCTTAGGTTACATGTATATCATTTTGAACCAGATTGGGCTAATTAGGGGAGACTCTGATTTGACAATATATTTTTTTTCTTACAGATACTTTTGACCTTAATATTTGATCTCAAAACTAGGTTCATTACTATAAACTCATTACTTACAGGCAATCCATGGGTGAAGTTCGAGCCAGATTGGGCCAGTTAGGGAGAAAATACTGAGTATATCAGTGAATATCAAGAATTCAAGCAGAGATCTGGTATAACCTTAATATCTAACCTAGAAAATTACTTCAAGGTCACTGAAAACCCTTAACCCATGAGCATTGAAAGGGTGCAAGGAGAGAGCTAGAAACTATATTCCAGATAAAAAATTATTTAACACAAAAAGTGATTTTTTTTCCTTTATGTTTGATCTTTAGAAAATTTGATTCAAGGTCACTGCACACTCTTACCAAAAGGCACTCTGTAGGTGAAGTTTGAGCAAGATTAGACTGAGTAGAGAGAAAATATGTTCAAGACATCATCTTGACCTCTGACCTAAAAATTAGGTCTAAGTTGCTATACACACTTGACCCACAATATTAATCACTCAACATCTGTATTCCGGATAGTGTCATAGAACGAGAAAATATGCTCTAGAAAAGGATTTTACACAAAGATATTTTAAAAAATAATAATAATAACAACAATGGTTAAAGTTTCCTGCTCAACATTTAACCATGAGCACTATTTTAGTGAAACCATTTTGGGCCAAGGAAAGAAAAAAATGCTCCAGAGAAGAATTTCACAGAAGTGTTCATCTATGTTGACCTCTGACCTAGAATCTTTCTTCAAGGTCATAGCTTTTCATGGGTGATGTTTGAGCCAGGTTGAAGGGAAAGAAGAGAAAATACTGGTATACGTCAGACAAGTAATAGAGGACATTGGGATGTAGGGACAACTGACTATAGAACAACCACAGAGTGGGTTCCTAGAAAGGGACACAGCATGCATTAATGGGACTGAGCCTCTGTCCAAAGCTATGCCTTCATTTTCCCTAACGATGCCTGACTAAAAAACTAAGACTGTATTTTTAGAACAAACATATATTACTTTTCAGAAATAGAAATGTATTTGAATTACTGCATTTAATTATGGTTAGTGTGAAATGTTTAACAATTAAAATATGACATGATGTACTTTGGGGTAAGGAAAAGTGCACTGTTAAGGGCTGAACAATTAAATCATGCACACTGTTCTTCAACAATTCTTTCGGTAAAAGAAAGGGTACAATCACCAAATAGACCTACAGTTATAATGTCAGCATCTACTCCAAAACTCTGAAAGAAATTGGTCATTAACAAAATGTAGCAGGCAAGGATAATAAGACTGTCAGTTTCAAGTTTGTTTCAAATTCATTGCTATTGTCAGCTGGAACTTTTAGCTTGAAATTTCCTTGACTGAATTTGAAACTGCATTTTTCCAGTCAAAGTCTTGCTACAATCATGAAAACTTTGTAACTTTAATAATATCTTTTCCCTTAAATACTAGCAATTTTTTCTTTTATAGAGAGAGAGCATATTTCAATCCCTTTTGCTCACCTTGAAAACATCTGTCTGTCCTTTTTCAAAATTATTTTTCTCATCATCCAGTGGTAGTCTTGGTGTTTCTAAGCCCTTCTTTCCATGTAGCTGTATGTAAACATTGGCATCAGTCCCAGCAAAAGATTTTGTTCCTGTCTTGACTATGATCTGGTATACTGTGTTAAGGGCTTCTATAATCACAACAAATATACACTGTAGCAGAAAATAAACACATGGAGATTTTTCTTATGTTTTAAGGAGAGTTTCTTGTTATTTTTCTCAAAACTTTTTAAAGTTAAACATCCTTGCAAATATTCAAGTACAGCATACTTTTTCTTCATAGAAAATATTCTTTGAAAATATGTCATTCATGCAGTACAATAATCTTAATTTATAAAATAGTTCAAAAAATTGAAAATGAAAATTAGGTAAGTGACAGCTATTTTTTAATCTTTGATAAGAAGACACACCGTGACCGGCTTGTCCCTTGTAGTGAAGTTGCTTCTTCATACACTTGAGCTGCCTCTCAATCTTCCCATCATCTTCTTTTTTATCTAGCCATTTATTACATGGGAAGTAGAACTCTTCATAATCAGGAGTTCTAAATGGTGCCTCTTCTTCATCCTCACTCTCTGTATCAGACAGCTCACGTCTCTTCTTCCGATGTCTCTGTTTTGTCTTGGCTTTTTCTCTCAATTTTTTCTTCTCTTTTTCTACATGAGCTTTGATTTCTTCCTTTGTCAAATGTTTTCTTATTATTACCTAAAATGGATATTCTACTTTACATACATTATTGTATTTATATGCATGAACTAAATAGTCAGCTCAGAAGAGAACAAATCTACAACTGACACTCTAGTTACATGTATTTACTTTTTCCATTGTTATTATGTACCCTTTCTAACTTCATTCCCAATAAGTAAATTAAAACATAGGTAATCAGAGATTACAGAGCTCACCTCAACGAATGTTGTCTTTAAGTAGGACAAAGTCACAGAATTAACCAACAAAAAGTGTACAAACAAAAAATGCAAAATTTATGCAATTTCGATTTGATACTTTGGAATAGACCTATATAAAAACTTCAAACTAGTTCTTCATCATGAAAACATAATTAAAATCTAGCATCTGAAGCAAGTTTGAGGGTTTTCATCTCTTGATGCATCATTTGAGCAAGTTTGGTTTATATAAGCCTTAAAGTTTTTTGGTAATAGACCTGCACCCATAACTTTTACGAGATCCATTAATCTGAAAAATATATGTCGAATTCAGCATCTGAAGCAAGTCCATTAGTGTGCATCCTAAGATGTATCATCCATGCAAGTTTGCTCAACATAGAGCTCAAAGTTACTTGGAAATGAAACCTGTATAAAAAAAATAACCTTTTCACTAATCCAGAAAATTCAGATTCAGCATCTGAAGCCAGCCTAGTAGAATGCACCCTTAGATGTACCATCCATGCAAGTTTGGTCATTATAAGGCTCAAAGTTACTTGGAAATGAATCCTGCACCAAAAACTTTAACCTGTTCACTCGTCCAGAAAATGTAGGTCAGTTTCAGCATCCGAAGCAAGTCTGGTAGTATGCATCCTAAGATGTATCATCCATGCAAGTTTAGTCATTATAGGGCTCATAGTACCTTGGAAATGAAACCTGCACCAAAAACTTTAGGCTATTCACTCAACCGGAAAATGTAGGTCAGATTCAGCATCAGAAGCAAGTTTGGTAGTATGCATCCTAAGATGTATCATCCATGCAAGTTTAGTCATTATAGGGCTCATCGTAACTTGGAAATGAATCCTGCACCAAAAACTTTAACCTGTTCACTCAACCGGAAAATGTAGGTCAGATTCAGCATCTGAAGCAAGTCTGGTAGTGTGCATCCTAAGATGTACCATCCATGCAAGTTTGGTCACTATAGTGCTCATAGTAACTTGGAAATGAAACCTGCACTAAATACTTTAACCTGTTTACTCAACTGGAAAATGTAGGTTTGATTCAGCATCCGATGCAAGTCTGGTAGTATGCATCCTTAGATGTATCATCCATGTAAGTTTGGTCACTATAGTGCTCATAGTTACTTGGAAATGAGAGCTGCACCAAAAACATGAATCTGTTCAATCATGCGGAAAATGTAGGTCAGATTCAGCATCCGAAGCAAGCCTGGTAGTGTGCATCCTAAGATGTACCATCCATGCAAGTTTGGTCAACATAGGGCTTATAGTTACTCGGAAATGAGACCTACACCAAAAACTGCACCAAAAATGTTAACCTGCTCCAAAAACATTAACCTGGTCATTCCTTTGCTGAAATTGCAGCATCTGAAACTTTGACTGGTACAATGAAACACACTAGAAACATCTTCCATGCATATCAAATCAATATAGGACATAGAAGTACTTATAAAAAGAAAACTGCTCCAAAAAACTTAACCTTAACCCGGGACACCAACACCGACGCCGACGCCAACGCCGAGGGTATTACATAAGCTCCCCCAACTTCATTGAGGTGAGCTAAAAACTGAATTCATTAATGCATTATCAGTTTGAATTTATGCCCCCTAATTGAAGATTCGGAGTACATAGTTTATCGCCCTTTCCATCCATCTGTCTGTCTGTTTGTTCGCAAAAACTTTAAACTTACGCATGACTTCTGATTGTTTGAAGATATATGGCTTTCATATTTCACAAGTGCCTTCCTTGTGATGAGACCTTTCTTTAGAGACCACCTAATTTGACCTCGGAGTTTGATCCACTTTTGCGACAATTTATCATATTTTAACCTAGCAGATGGTGCTAGTGTTTTCATACTTTATGTGTATATTTATTCTGACAAGACCTTTCCATGGATACAAATATTTTATTCCTTTTCAATTTGACCTTGACGAATTGAATTTAACTCAATTTAAAAAGAATTCTAACTTTGTACATTACTTATGAACAGTTAGTACTGGGGCCTTCTTATTTCACAAGTGTATTCCTTGTGACAAGTCCTTCCTTTGGATACCATGAGCTTTTACCTTTTGACCTTGGAGATTTTTGAAAACTTTAACCTTGCCATAACTTTTGAACAGTTAGTGCTAAGGCATTAATATTTTAAAATGTGTGTTTCCTAACAAGTCATTCTTCTTTATATCTTTAATTTGACCTTTTGAAATTGATCCAACTTTGAATTTGACTTATATTTTTAAAAAAAATCTTTAACCTTGGCTATACTGTTTGAATGTGAGTGCTTGGGCTTTCATATTTCACTGGTATATTCATTGTGATCAACTGCTTTCTTTTGGGTAACAAGATTTTTCATCTCTTGACCTTGGAATCTAAATTGCATTTCAGAAACAATACTTCAACGTTCACCAAAAGCTACCATATGGGGCATCAGTGTTTCACAAACACATCTTGCCTTAATGATAAAATATTTCAGTATTGTGTCTTACAGTCAAGTTATCTTATCCAACAAATTTATTTTACAGGTGTTTTAGAGGCATTGAGAGAGTTAGCTATTTCATGACAATTCAATGAAACTTACATCATCCAGAAACCATCCAGAACCATTTAAAAAAAAAAAAAATTAAAATTACATGTATGCTTAAAAAAAATAGCCTTTGATACAAGAAACAGATTACAAGGGTGTCTTTCAGATCATATTTATAATTTGTCTTTAAAAATAAATGATTGAAATAGCAATTAACTTGACTGCTGTGTTCTACCTTAACATTAAATATCTATAAAGGTCAAGACATGTTAATGTTCTTCAATAATGTCTTTTGTAGTCACTCAAATTTTTGCAATGTTTGTTTCACAAAAACCAAAATTCAGTTTTGTCTGTGTTACACACCAACCCATTGGTTAATTAGAGCTACCTGCTAACTGAGTTTCAGGTGGGGGTTCAAGGTTTTTATCTGTTTCCTTAGCTTTTTCTGAAAAGAAATCATTTCAAATGGGGGACATATGAACAAAACAATTAATTTGTCAAGTGGTGAATTCATCTGTAATGTGAATTTTTTTCTCAGAGTAGATCAATTATTAAAAAAATTGTTAAGAGCAATGTTATGTTAAATGTAGTTAACACTAAGGCTTGTAAAACTCTATTCAAAATGACAATGCAAGTGTATGTTTATTAAAAATGCGATATAATTTTTAGTCATTTCATGTCATTTACAACCAATGAAATCTACAACTACTAAAGTCTCTCAAAGGCAGTGAAACACTACTTCTCAATACAAATTGCTCTGTTTCTTTTTAGTAACTTTACTATCTTTTTCTAAATGCCTTCATATTTCACTGAATTTACAAGGGAAAAAAGATTACTATAGAGAAAAAAAATAACTAAAAACTACAAATAAATTTTTTAAAAATGCTATAATCTTTATACCTTCTGTTTTGTCCTCTTCGAAGTCATCAGCATACTCATCTTTCTCCCCGTCTTCTTTCTCTGACTTGAGGGTCTGCTTGTCCCCGGTGCCGGCGGTGGCGCTGGCCTTGGATTCCTGGGAGCTGGCCGCGCTCCCCTTACGCTTCTTCTGGAGTGCCCCTCCCGCAGAGCTCTCCTCACCATCCTCATATCCCTGTCATCCAAAAAAAAATTACATCAATTTCTACACTGAATGAGGATAACAGATGAATTAATTTACAGAAAGTCTACATCGAATTTCTTTTTTGCTTTAAATGTTAAAAAATTTGACTCTATTTTTTTGCCAATTTTCATTTATCAGATCTTGAACTCCAAAAAAAGTTCAAAAATCATAGTGATTTATAAACTCTGCACTATATGTGCAATTTTTCAAAGAATAAACATTGCAAAAAAATTATTTAAACATTCTTTTTAGATAACAAAATTTGCAATAGCTTACGCCTTCATCCTCATCTCCATTGAGGAATTCTGGGGGTAGCTCCCCTCCTACAGCCTCGTCACAATTTCAATGAAGTCATATAAGGTATTTGGTATTCGTTGTGAACACTCTGCATTTTACAATGCATAGTGTATACAACATTTTCCTATCATTGCAAGGGGAACAGGTCATCTTATAATTTCATATCAAGTGTAACAGCAGTGCTTGGGTGTCATTCAGTCGGTTTGCTAACTGTAATTGCACAAAGAAATATTAAATTTTTATCCAATTTCAAAATATTTTTAGAAATATCTGGTTTACTGAGCTTTGAATTCTTTATAATTTTACATTGAAAGGTATAAAATGAAAATTGTTGCCTTTAAAAAACCCCTTAATATCAATTACACCTGCAGAAAAGTAAAAAAATCCTAAACCTTGAATGACTTACTTCAATCTTAGCGTTAGTCATGTCTGTGATATACTTCAGGGCCTTGGCACTGCCTAATATTCCAGCCTGATTAGACAACACGTGGGACTTGACGATCTCTGACAGGTGAAGCAGGGTATCCTTCTGTAACACTTAGGTTCTTCAGGGCCTTACACCTCTCCTGGTACAGCTCAGGTCTCATCCTGGCGAATGCTGTGATGTAGAAGGAATCTGTCAGGGTGTCATAATACACAACAATATCAGGGTAGTGGTGGAGGCCACTTCTGGGTTAAATCGTGGCTTGGCAAGTGGTGTTGACAGGTAGAATCTGAAGTCTGGTTGGCACAAGACACGGCGACCACAGAATTTTATCATGCGGGCTTCTAGATAAGGATTAGAATTTCAATTTAGATTCATTTAACAAGTAACTACATGATCGCTTTCGGCCACTACAGTAGCCAACATATTAAAAAGTGAACTCCTTCAAAAATTCCCTTCATATACTTCATTTACAGCAAAAATTAATTTAAATGCATAGTGTAATATCAAAGTTCATTTATTTGAAAAAAAAGGATACAGTGTCACATGTAAAAGATGAAGTTAACAAACAGTGGCCGACTTAAAA